TCATATAACGGTAAATTTCAGAAATGCTTGAAACTTCAATATTTCGAAATTGAAGGACGCTAATTTACTCAAAATTGATACACCCCGGCTTACCATCTAGCGGAAGGTTTCGGAAAGGTGAAAAAACATATATTTAATACTTGCGCCGGGTATTTAATGTTCGGCTCCGCCCGAACTTAGACTTTCTTACTTGTTTAATACTATAGCTTTCTTATGCGTTTTTGAGGTTTTTAGGGGACCTATAAAAAAGTTTATAATAGAAAATGGTTAAGTAAACAGTTGGATATTATTAATGAAAGCCTTCTGAAGAGAAATACATATTGATTTTCAAGAATTCTATACCATTTCAGCGAAAGCTTGTTTTTTCCCCATTTGCATAAAATACGTGGAAAACTTTGAGTGACCTGTAAATCTTATTTGATTTCAAAATAAAAAAACAGCGGAATCATTTTTTCTTTATAGAACCACACTAGGGCGTGAGGACATTAAAATTCCAAATTTACTTTTTTTACCACATTAGGGTGCATCATTCTCCATAAATTTGGAACTGTTCTTCATTGTTATTATAAAATTTATATTTTAAGACTTTGGTCATAACATTTCGTAAAAAATATTAAGACTTAAATACATAAGCTGAACCGATTTCAAAATATGTATGTATCTCCGAAAATCTAATTACATATGTGGCTGAGTGGTTAGGGGTATGTACTACCACTCTGTAGGGCCTGGGTGCGCTCTCTGGTCCGGGAAAGGTCTTAATTAGAAAACGGCAAGAAATGACAAACCTCCGAATGCTTTTCTGCCATTAAAAAGCTTCTAATAAAATTCCATTTGCTGTTCGGAGGCGGCGTAAATCTGTATGTCTCCATTTTTCGAAATATTTTGGCGGAAGTTTTTAAATATATGTAATAAAATTTATAATTCCGGTGGAAAACCGGCCATTTTTCGGTGAGACACCCTAATGTAAATACAAACAAGTCATTCGTAGAATCGATCTTACCAACCAACATACATATGTACATAAGTAGCTGAAATTTGGGTTTACTTTGGTAAGAAAATTGCGAATGGGTGTGTATTTTTGACGGTTTTGGTCGTCACACTAACTCCTAAAAAAGCTCTTAATAGATATCGATACATTTTGCATACATCTTCTATACGCTCACCTTATCTTCAGTGCCACGATGTGTGGTGTTACCCTGCCAGAAACGCCGCACGAAACCCTTTATATAGCCCGTTATGCATTTGGAATATTCGAAGCCGGGATACCAGCATAGCGAACCATAACCAAATACCCAACAGCAGGGTTCATCATTGGCGTTATTGGCTAAGTTGTTGTTGTGCTGTGCAAATGCCGCCGCCGCCGCGGCTACATCCAGCATTTCCTCATCTTCATTGGCTGCGAAATTTCCATTCAAGAAGAGATTTTCGAAATATTCAGGTGCGCCACGTGCTGCCGGATTTTGATTAAGATTTTCAACGTTGCGATTGTGGTTTTGGTTGTAGTTGTGAATATCTCTGTCTCTATGATTGTGCGCCATCTTTGGTATGGAAAGCTTAAATTTAAACGATTATAATACGACTTTTGATGATCACTATCTTTGCCGGTAATGGTTGATTGTGTGCGCTCGCCAACCGCGATCTTTGTTGCAAGCTTTTTGTCTGACGCCAACACTTTTGTCGCTGTGGTATTGATGATATGATAATAGTGGTTTTTGTTGCTGCCGTTTCTTGCAAGACATCGATTTTTGGATGGGCTTTTGGTAAGTGATTGTATGTATGTATGTGCGCGTACTTGTAATGATGAGGCTTTCAATGGTGTGCTGTGCGGGAATGCATTTAATTTAGCTCATCACTTGCTTGGAGAGATCGGTAGAGATTATTTTAGAGATTTATCATATTTGACTTGTGAAATGACTCTCACTTTTTTTTTTTTTGTTTTTTTTTAATTTTTTGATTTACGCTTATCCGAAATATGTTGCCGCTGTTTAGACCATCTGCGAATTTTGTGTTTGTTTGATATTTTTACTGCAAATTAAAAGAAAAAAAAATATTGAATAAAATAAAGTTAACTTGAAATTTTTTAATATTTTTATTTTTTTATTTGACAATTTATTTCAAGGCGAACTCATATAAGGTGGTAGCCCATGGTACAATAATTACAGGAATGGTGGAACAATAACAAGGAGTTGTCAGTAGCGTCGTGTTTGTTGTGATTTTGACAAGATCGGCATGCTGATTTTCAGTGCTGCCGATCTTAACTTTTATATTACTATTCGTTGGGAATAGTATCTAAAATACTCCATTTTAGTAATTTGTTTTATCGTGATTTTTAAAGAACTTGGTGTTTTCAAAACAATATTAATATTTAAAATTGCTGGATTGTTGGATAAAAGATATCGTGGTTATCAATGGAAAAAAACGTTCACAAAAATCGTATGTAAAGGCGATTTTTTATATTAAATAACATTTGCTGTATCGTCATAATATTGAGCCAAATGAACTACTGATACACTAGAATAGGGTGGCTGCATGCTTAAATTAAGAATTCGCTTATATTATCGATATTTATGTGTTTTAATCTATTTAGAAAATAATTTACAGTCTTATAGGAAATTGCCTTATTTCACGGGTTTAACTTTTTAAAAGTTACAATAAATATATATCCAAGCTGTGTGGAGCTGCCGATACAAACATATATTCAGGCTTATAAGCCTGTAATTATACATTTGTCTACATTTAATTTGAAATAGTATGCACCAAAGGATTAAAAGTAGTAAATAATTAGTACCGTTTCTGGTACTTTAAAGTGCGTGACCGGAATAGACCTGCCGAAAAAGTGAAGTTAAGTTACTGACAACACCTTGGCATGAATCAATGTCCCCACCAAAAAGTTAAGCATCTGAAATTGAACTTAAACACATTACTTACTATTGCTGTATACACTACGGTTTGAGGTTTATAAAACAGTACAAATGTGGAGAAAAGTGTTCGGACTACCGCAATTCGATTCAGGAGTAAATCGGTTAAAAAATCAAGTCAAAAACAAATTTTCCGTAGTAGATTTCCCTTTTTACCTTCACCTTCGACATTATTTGTACGACTTCGCATAAATATGGGCTACTTTGCACTTAAGAATGAAGAAATGTGGAAAGTGATAAAAGTAGACGCACTGCTACCTACCTACCTACAGCTCTTGTGGGCGGAAATGGCAAATGTTATCTGATTATATCAATTTATTTATGCCGGTTAATATTAACCGCCCAACAACTTTAAAAAACTGGCGCAAATAGTTCCAAAATTTAGAATATCTTCGTCTTTTAGTTCTTCTTTGTTTTGACAAATGAACAATACTGCATCAGCTCTACAATATGCGTCCCGTATATAATCTGAATCTATCATCTAAGAAATTAATGAAAACAATGCTGTAAAACTTAATGAATCAAGTGCTACCAAATTTTGGCAGCTAAAATTGTACAAAAAGTGCTGGGTAGTAGGAAAGTAGAAAGCACTTGAAATTGTATCAAAAAAGTACAATTGTATCGAAATTGTCAACACTGTTCCGTAGTATTTTGTACTTTGCACTTTTTCTCTTTCTATTTTGCTTTTGGTCGTTTAAAGTTCAAAACCGCGTATCAACATAATGCCAAACCGCGTATGTGAGGTTGAATAAATAATTTTGTAGAGAGTAAAAACACATACATATTTCAAAATTGTTCTCTCTTTTATAAAGCAATGGCACTTCTGGCTAGTATATTTCAGGACGAATGGAAGAGACTTGAGCCTAGAGCTTCGGTGAGCAAATCCAATTTATGACAAAAAATGTCAGTTGCGCGGTTGTGCAGAACGACGACGATACGCGGTTTTGTATTCTAAACGACAATATTTTTATTTTTTGGCCAAATGGAAATTTTTGGTAAATCAAAAATGTTTACGTAAATATTTGGCTTACATACGTACATACTACATCTGTAGATAAAATATTCGACTTAAGCAAATAAATTTAACGATATGTCGCCGGTAGTCGGGATCTTCAAATACACACATGAATACATTAAAAATAGTGTGGCATATTTAGTTTTAAGAAACTATTTTGTCCATCGGTTATGTACACTAGGGTGGTAAAAAAAAAAAAAGTAAATTCGGAATTTTAATATATACCCCTATTTTAAATTTTGAAATCAAAAAATATTTTATATGGAAAAACCCCACTTTTCGTAGAAATGTTATAGAATTCTTGAAAATCAATATTTTTCGATAGGAAAACTCTGGTTCTTTTTAGCAGATTTCCAATAATAATTCCAAATTGTTTATTTAACCATTTTTTAATACTAAGGATTTTTCATTGGTCCCCCATTGCATTTTCAGGGGCTTTGGCCCCTATAAAATAAAGTTATGGTTAAATAAATAATTGGGTATTATTATTGGGAGTCTCCGGAAGAGAAACATCCCTTGCTTCCATTTCTGTCAAACACGCAAATTTATTATTAAAAAAATGTCGAATAAAACCAACGGGTTCTGTTTGCTTTTGAACACGGGTTCATCGAGTGCGCTGTAAAGACTGAGGAATAAATGTTTGAAAGAAATATGTGTTGAATCGAATCAATCTTTTGTTAATGCTTTTTTTTCGTAGGTATAGACAAGGCAACAGATTGGAAAATATTGATCTTCAATAATTCTATAGCATTTCTAAGAAAACTTGTTTTTTCCCATAAAAAATATAAATATTTTTTGATTTCAAAATACAAAAAATACGAGGTTATAGAACAATCCTAGGGGTGAGAGTGTTAAAACTCCGACTTTACTTATTTTTCCTTATAACGTAAATATGAATGCATTCACTTATGAACATGCTCTTATTAACCCTAAAGGAGAGGAATTAAAAATGACTCGAATTTTTTGCTTAATGAATGTAATGATCACATGCAAAATTATTCTTATTCTTAAAGCCAACAAATATTAAGACATTTTATTCGAATCTGTTTATATAACTCTTATTCTTAAACAACAAATATTAAGTGGAAATTTTATTCAAATCTTTATATTTAATGCATGTATGTTTGTATGAACATTAGCTAGGATTTCTCGGAACATAAATTCGATATACATATACACGAAATTTTATTTGGCCTAAATAAAATATGTACATTTGAGGCCATGGGAACTAGAGGAGCCTATCTACAAAATAAATTCTTTGAGTAATATAAGAAAGAATAGTTCATTGCACCTTAGTGATGCTCTCTGTTAGAGTAAAACAAAACCAAAGGCGCCTGCATCGAGCTATTACCGTTTCGATTCTAGTAATGCTGAGGAAGTTTCAAGATGCCGGCATTATTTAAAAGGGCTTCGGATTGAGGCCTAGGGCATATATATGTGTACATATTATGTATTTAATATGGAAATATGCAAAAAACGATAAAATACTGAAAATTATCCGTTTAAAATCACTAAAAATATTCTCTTAAAATTATATATATATATGGGGTATAATTTCTGAGCTTTAAACCCCCTCACCTCACACCCCACATTTTTCTTTTAACTTAAGACTTTTTTAAAAACATGCAAAATTCATAAAAAATAGTAGCGCAATAAGGAGAGGGTTAATTCAATTTCAAGGTCATCTCGAGGTCAACAGGGTGTTTTTAAAAAGTGGCTTATTTTTATCTCAAATTCAGAAAGAACGGAAAATTCTACGTTCAGATAACATATCATATGCGAGGTTAATTTGCCGTCAGGGTCATATGAAGCGTGGATCTGCCTATCAATAATTGTTTTTTCACCAAATTTATCCAATTACGATTAGTAAATTTATTGAAATAACATATTGAACAGGAAGATTGACGCTTCATACGACCCTGACGGCAAATGAACCCCGCATCGAATTCCGCAAAATAAAATTTCTGGTGCACCCTAATGCACATACATTTTGTCTAGTTATACCATAATTTATTAACCATGAAAGCATTAAAATTGAAAAAAGTTGTTCAAAGGAAACCGAAAATTTCCAGGCAGACATTTTTTATACATATGTATGTATTTATGTAGATATTTTTATACCTTTCATGAGCATGAAATGGTATTATAACTTTGGTCCGATGTTTGTAAGTACCAGAACAAAAAGAGATAGACCCATTAAAATGTATACTTATATGATCAGAACGTCGAGCTGAGTTGATTT